AAATCAATTTCAAAGCTTTTATCTTTTTCCATTTTTTAGTCCGAATGTAGCTTAATCGCGTGATAACTCCTCCATCGAACGTGTAACCTCCGCAACAACGTTTTTGAACATAGAATATAGTTTGAACCATAGCATAATTTATATTACGTAGTTTATTAACCTATTGATAAAAAAGCAAAATCTATAAAATTAAAAAAAATTGTATCTCAATAAAATTAGGGTTAATTTGTAAGATAGTAAAAAAAAAATTAATAACTAAAAATCTAGCTAAAATTGCCTTATGTGATAAAATCAAAAAAACAAAAAACTCTCGAAAAAAAAGTAAAATATAAGTAGGTCTTTGTCCCTCCGGCGGCGGCCATCGCCAGGAAGAGTCTCCGTTTTTAGTTTCTTCCCTTTGTTGTACTTTGTTTTCGTAAAATGTGATATTTTCGGATTGAAGAAAAGAGTGCATTATTTTGGGTTTTTTGGCTCCCGTGGACTTCCGCAATGGCGTGGAGAGTCGTATAGTTCACATTTCTGCACTTTCGTTGCTTCCGTTTGCTTAGTCCTTGTGACTTGGTTTCAAAATCCTCTTACAATCGTTTAAGGTTCTTGAGTTCTGCTGGTTCTTGTGTCCCTTTTCTTGCTAGGTATTGCCTTCTTTGTTCGGTTTTTTCCATCGGTTTGGTTGTGTCAGTTTGTAATATGTGACTTCGCGTTTAGGCTCTTTGTGTTGGGTGCCTAGGTTTGTGGTCTACCGCGGCCTAAGAGTATGAGTTATTTTGGTTATATTTTGTTGGAATGTGCATAATCGTCTGCTTTGTTGGGTTAATCTTTGATTAGCAACTTTCTTATTTGGTGAATCTTTCTCACCTTCTTTCCATCGTTCTTTAGTTTAGTTAAATAATTAATTTTCACCTTTAAAGCTAATATCTTGTAGAGATGCAAAATTCTAGATTTAGATTATAGAGGTTAAAGACAAGATGGATAAAAATTTAGATTTTTGATCATGGTTTCTTATTTTTGTTAGTCATCATATATGGGTCTCTTCTTCCCGGTTTCTCAATGTTTTGGATGCAATTTATGAATTTTTGATGTTCCACGTACGCTGATCTTTCAGCGCTAACTGTTGATTACCAATGTTTTTTTCCTGTTCCCCTTTTTATCAGTACTTTTGTGTTCTAAAATTTAGATTTTTGGTTTTCGGTAAATTTTCGAACATTATTTTTCGGTAATTTTCCAGATTTTGTTTCTCGGTAATTTTTTGGATTTTACTTCCCAGTATACTTTTGGAATATGCTTCCAATATATTCGGCTTTGTAATTCGACTCATT